GAGGCTGCGGCCGGGTGGTCCCCGCTGAGCGCCCCGAGCCCCGAGAGCCATGCAGATGTCCTACGCCATCCGGTGCGCCTTCTACCAGCTGCTGCTGGCCGCGCTCATGCTGGTGGCGATGCTGCAGCTGCTCTACCTGTCGCTGCTGTCCGGACTGCACGGGCAGGAGGAGCAAGACCAATATTTCGAGTTCTTTCCCCCGTCCCCGCGGTCCGTGGACCAGGTCAAGGCGCAGCTCCGCACCGCGCTGGCCTCCGGAGGCGTCCTGGATGCCAGCGGCGATTACCGCGTCTACAGGGGCCTACTGAAGACCACCATGGACCCCAACGACGTGATCCTGGTCACACACGCCAGCGTGGACAACCTGCTGCACCTGTCAGGCCTGCTGGAGCGCTGGGAGGGCCCTCTGTCCGTGTCGGTGTTCGCGGCCTCTAAGGAGGAGGCGCAGCTGGCCACAGTGCTGGCCTACGCGCTGAGCAGCCACTGCCCCGACATGCGAGCCAGGGTCGCCATGCACCTCGTGTGTCCCTCGCGTTATGAGGCCGCTGTGCCCGACCCCCGGGAGCCGGGGGAGTTTGCCCTGCTAAGGTCCTGCCAGGAGGTCTTTGACAAACTAGCCCGGGTGGCCCAGCCCGGGATCAATTATGCGCTGGGCACCAATGTCTCCTATCCTAATAACCTTCTGAGGAATCTGGCTCGTGAGGGGGCCAACTATGCCCTGGTGATCGACGTAGACATGGTGCCCAGCGAGGGGCTGTGGAGAGGCCTGCGGGAAATGCTGGATCAGAGCAACCAGTGGGGGGGCACGGCGCTGGTGGTGCCTGCCTTCGAGATCAGACGAGCCCGCCGCATGCCCATGAGCAAGACAGAGCTGCTGCAGCTCTACCAGGTGGGAGAGGTGCGGCCCTTCTATTATGGGCTGTGTACCCCCTGCCAGGCGCCCACCAACTACTCCCGCTGGGTCAACCTGCCGGAAGAGAGCTTGCTGAGGCCTGCCTACGTGGTGCCATGGCAGGACCCCTGGGAGCCATTCTACGTGGCAGGAGGCAAGGTGCCCACCTTCGACGAGCGCTTTCGGCAGTATGGCTTCAATCGAATCAGCCAGGTGCCCACAAGGGAGAGGGCGTGGGAAATAGGGCAGGAAGGGGGGTGGGCAGGGAGCAATGAGGAGTGGCCATGGATGAAAATGAGGCTATAAGGCAGGAGGGATCATAGTTCAGAAGGTGGTTGGATGGTTTGGAAAATCCAGAATGCCTCCAGAGGGGTGAGGAAACTGGATTGTGGCATCAGGGCTGTCAGTCTCAGCTCTGGGAGTATCATCAAACTTTGCTGACCTGTCTCTCCCCCTACAGGCCTGTGAGCTGCACGTGGCAGGATTTGATTTTGAGGTGCTGAACGAAGGTTTCCTGGTTCATAAGGGTTTCAAAGAAGCCTTGAAGTTCCATCCCCAAAAGGAGGTTGAAAATCAGCACAATAAGATCCTTTACCGCCAGTTCAAACAAGAGTTGAAGGCCAAGTATCCCAACTCTCCCCGTCGCTGCTGAGCCCTTCCCTCCCCTAGTCTGAGAAGTCTCAGTCTCCTGGTTCCTCAGGCCGCCCCTCAGGCCTGACTGGGGTAAGAAATGTCACTCCACTTTACAGAGGTAGCTGTGGTGTTGAAACACTGGACTTGAATATGGGGTGCTGGGATTAAGTCCTAGCTTTACCACTAACTAGCTGTGTGGCCTTGAACAAATCCCATTACCTCTCTGAGCCTCGGTTACCCCGTCTGTAAAAAGGGAGGTGACAATACCTCCCTCACAGAACTGTTGGGAGGCTCAGATGAGATGCTTTATGTGAAAACATTCTGTAAGCTTCGTACAAATGTGAAGTATTATTAATATTATTACAGTATTATTATTGTTGTTATTGTTATCATTAACAATCTTGGATGGGTGGATAGTAGGAGAGCAAAAGGTATGAATGGGACAGTCTGTACTTAGTGAAGTGGGCTTTTTGGAAAGAAATCAGAAGAAGGCATAGAATTTAGCTCTCAGCTCTTGGACAGACGCCTCAACTTCCAGGTTCTCCCCGTCCTCCGCCCTCGGGGCTCTGGAGGAGGGAGGGGTCTGCAGGCTCTGTGGATGACAGTCTGAGATCTGTACCCTCTAGCAGGCTGGGCATTTGCCTACCGATGACAATGTGTAAATAAATGAGTGTTCACACCCACAGCTGGCTCCGTTACTCTCCTGAACTGGGGGGGTGGGGAGCGGGTTCTCTCCTCGCACGCCGGGGGGAGGTGGCCGCGGACCGAGGGGCGCCAGCTGCAAAGCAAGAAAACCGCAAGGCCCTTCCCTGCGTGCCGGAGGCCTGGGCGAATGTCGGCCGTTGCTATGGAGACCGGCCCGCGGTATCCCAGCGTGCCTCGGCCCCAGAGGTCCAATTGTGAGCTCCCCTGATGGGCGCCTCCTGATGACGCACACGGAAGCGCCGACAAGCCCCGCCCCGCCCCCGGGGGAGAGGCCCTCCGCGGCGCTTCCGGGAGCCCGGCGGCCGCGGCCAGTACCCGCAGCCTTTGGTACCTCAAGGTAGTCTCGGACGTGCGGCCGGAGGCTCCACTCCCCGCGGTGCGTATCGCCATGCCCGGCGCCTGGTTCGGCCTCTACGCTTAGTAGGTCGCAGCCGGAACAATCTCCTCCTCCGAGAGACTTCACCGGCCTGACGCGTGCGGGACCGCGGGACCGAGGCCGGCCGCGGAAGAGTCCGCGATCTTCGGGCTCGTGCCGGCACGTCTAGGGGTGGAGCGGGCGGGAGGCTCGCGGAGAGGTTGGGTTGGCTCCCGCAAGAGTGGAGTAGGGGCTGCTTTCCCTGGGGGCCTGCCCTCCAGGAGCTTACAGTCTGGAAAGATAAAAGGCATATGTACGGCGCTTTACAGTGTGCTTTTCCATCCCTTACCCTTGCAGTCTTTACAGCACTCAAAGCAGGAATAGTTATCCTTATTTTGCACCCGGGGTAAGGAGAAGAGCTTGCGACTAAATTTAACTCACTCAGAATTGGAGTCAGCGGGCCGGCAGGTGGCGCACTGGATAGTGCGCCGCTTGGGAAGCGTGGCGGCGCTCCCGCCCGAGGGTTCGGATCCCACATACAGACCGGTTCCCGCTCACTGGCTGAGCGAGGCGTGGGAGCAACACCGAGGGTTGCAATCCCGTTGCCGGACCCCGGTCCGGTACGGGGGCAACACTGAGGGTTGCAATCCGTTGCCGGACACGGAAAAAAGACAAAAGAAAAAAAAAAAAAAAAAAAATTGGAGTCAGCTGGAGCAGAGAAAGTCTTCTGGAAGAGCGGACTTTCGCTGCGTCTTAGGAAGTAAATATTCTTAACAGTGAGAAGGAATTGCAAATGTTGGGAACTGAGGCTTGAGTATGAGAAAGATGAGGCTGGTTTGGAGAGCCGAGGTCTTCAGGGCAGATTCAAATCATTGGTGAAGTCATTGACGGATAGACTAAACTCTCCCCCAGGCCAGGCATTTTACACAACTTGAGTAGGTGTTAACGAAGTTTGCTGTGCTATGCTACAGGGACCTGGGGCTATGGAGAAGTAAAAACTAATCTCTGCCTTGCAAAAGATTATTTAATTTGTATTTACAAATCCTCCTGTTATCAAGTGAGCCAGTACTGCACTAGGTGAATAAGTCACGTGTGCAGCCTCTCCCCGGGTAAGGCTCACAGACTGATTGAGGGGACAGACATGAGAATGGGCAAATAAGGGATGTAAACAAAGAAGGCTTCCTGAAGGGAGTGGTGTCTATACCATTCTAAAGGATTACAGAAGGCCAGAGAAGTTGGAAGAACATCACAGTGAAATAAGCCCCCAGTAGGCAGAGAGACAAGACTGTTTAGTCTTCCTCTTAGGTGACCTTGACAGTATTTGGTATTGTCACCACTCCTGATTCTCTGTCTCTATGACATTGGATTTTTCCTCCTCCTTTGCAGGGGTCTCCTTGTCTACCCCTTCGGTGACCCTGGAGATTCCACCGCGAACCTCTTCTCACTCCATACATTCAGCCTTGCTGGTCACATCCTTTCCCATGGCCTAAATAACTTGCTGTATGTGGATGACCAAATCTGCAGCTCACACTTCTTGCTGAGGCTTAGACCCATGTGCCCCCAACTCCTCCCCGTTTTTCTGGGTCTTTGCACACGCTATTCACTCTACCTGGAATGTTCCCTCTCTCAATTAGCTCATCCATCTGATCCATCTTGGGAAGCCCTCACCGCTGCAGCAAGCTCTATGTCCTGGTTAGAGCTTCTCCCATATGCTCCCAGTCTTAACTCTCCTTGCACCATAGTAAGTCTGTTTCTTTGCCCTTCTATCCCAGGAACTTATAAGCTCCTTGAGGTAAAAGACTGTCTGTCCTATTTGTGCCCCAGCACCTACCATAGTATCTGATGGTACCCAACATATATTAGATGTTCAATAAATATTAGATGAGTAAATAAAGGAAGAAACACTTAACAGTGTTCAGTGTTGCTGAGAAGTCAATTAAAATAAGCACTGGGGCTGGCTGCTCAGTTGATTAGAGTGTGATGCTGATAACATCAAGGTCCAGGTTTGATCCCTGTACTGTCTAGCCACCAAAAAAGAAAAAGAAAAACAGTTACTAACTAGAGATTAAAAATTTTGTAAAAATTTTAGAAAGCACTGAAAAAATACTGGCGTTAGCCACAAGGAAGTTGTCTGTTAATGCTGCAGGATGAGTTTCAGCTGAGAGTGATGGGTGCACAGCTCAAGCAAGTGGGAGTGAAAGTAGGACCAGCAGGTGTGCACAAGGCCTTGAGTGTAGCTGTGAAGCGGAAAACGGAGCAGCTCAGTGGGATGGGTGAGGTTTTGTGTTTCTGCTTTTTCTCAAAAATACCTGAGCACATCTACAGCTTCATGGGAAGGAGACTGCCAAGAGGGAGAAGACCTGAGGTCCCAGAGGAAGCGGAGGAGATGGGATTTGACCTAGAGCACAGTGAAAGACAAGAGGGATGTAGAGTGTCGTCGGGAAGAGAAGCCGGGGGCATCATAGGCAGAAGGACCAGCATGGGCAGAGGGAGGGAGGCGGCAGGGTGAGAAGTGGCCATTAGGTGGGGGACAAAGGAGCTGGACCGGAAGTTCAAGTCCAGTCTGAAGGACCTTGAAAGCCCCAGTCAGGAGTTAGGGGCATCATAGGCAGAAGGACCAGCATGGGCAGAGGGAGGGAGGCGGCAGGGTGAGAAGTGGCCATTAGGTGGGGGACGAAGGAGCTGGACCGGAAGTTCAAGTCCAGTCTGAAGGACCTTGAAAGCCCCAGTCAGGAGTTTGGGCCCAGTCCCATAGGCAGTGGGACTCCATAGGCAGGGGCCCCTCCTTGGCCTTTCCTGTCTATGGATCATAGCCTTGGCCAGTATTCCCAGGACTGGGATCGTCAACGGTGTCCAAGGGCATGAGCGTTTCCACAGCTCCCAGGTTTCTGTGAGAAGTGCAAACGACCATATGCATCCTCGCCCCTCAGTGCGTGCTCAGGGTGTGGTGAGGCCCGTCGCCCCCCCACTGTCCCAGTCGGGGGTCAGGTTTGATTTTCCACCTGGCCACTCTCCTGCTCTGAGCTGTGGGCCGTGGTGAATGATGGCTCCGTACCTTCTCCCAGAGGCCAGATGCCCGTCCAGCCTCCAAGCAAAGACACAGAAGAGATGGAAGCAGAGGGTGACTCAGCCGCCGAGGTGAACGGGGAGGAGGAGGAGAGTGAAGAGGATCGCAGCGGCAGCCAGACCGAGTCAGAGGAGGACAGCTCAGGTGAGGCCCTGCGCGCGCGCCCGCACGGCCCCCTGCCCAGAGCTGGCCCTGACTGGCCTCTTGTCCCAGAGATGGATGAAGAGGACTACGAACAGCGCCGCAGCGAGTGCGTCAGCGAGATGCTGGACCTGGAGAAGCAGTTCTCGGAGCTGAAGGAGAAGTGAGCAGGGGGCGCCTCGGGCGGGGTCTGGGCAGCTGGCAGCGGAGGGGCCTGGTGCTGGGCAGGGCGGCTGCTGCCCGGGGGAGCGACTGCCCGCTGCAGCCCTGCCGGCGCACAGCACGTGTTTGCCCGAGCGCCCCGGGTGAGCAAATGGCTGCATGGCTGCTTTTTCTCTCCCAGGTTGTTCAGGGAACGACTGAGTCAGCTGCGGCTGCGGCTAGAGGAAGTAGGGGCCGAGAGAGCCCCTGAATACACAGAGCCTCTTGGGGGGCTGCAGCGGAGCCTCAAGATCCGCATTCAGGTGGCAGGTCTGTGGGCTCTCCTGTGCCCTGTTCCCCTCCAGGACCCATGGCTCTCTTTCCCCTTCCTCACTCATCCTGGCCCTCCTTTTTGGGCACCGGGGCCCCTGGCCGAGCAAGGTCTCCCTTCTCCTGCCTTCCGCAGGGATCTACAAGGGCTTCTGTCTGGATGTGATCAGGAATAAATACGAATGTGAGCTGCAGGGAGCCAAACAGCACCTGGAGGTGAGCCTGACGGGGTGCCTGTCGGGGCGGGCAAAGCCTGATGTGGCCCCCACTCTGCCCGGCTCAGCCGCTGCCGCCTCCTCCAGAGCGAGAAGCTGCTGCTGTATGACACACTGCAGGGGGAGCTGCAGGAGCGGATCCAGAGGCTGGAGGAGGACCGCCAGAGCCTGGACATCAGCTCCGGTGAGGGCCAGGCCCAGCTTCCACAACACCCGCTCTCTGCGGACCTCAGCTTTCCTGGCTGCACAGGGGGTGGTCAGAGGACTTGCTTCTTGGGGTCACTGTGAGGACTGAATGAGAGCAGGCCTGGGAAGGGCCCAGCTCAGTGCCTGGCACACAGTGGGGGCTTGGGCATAGGGGGGTCCCTTGCCCTCCCCTGCCCCTGCTGTCTTTCCAGAACAGAGGACACCAATCTGACATGCCCACACATATTAGCCACCCCCCCGCCCACAGCACCTGTGTTCATATGTGTCCTGGGGAGGCAGGAATTATCATCCCATTGTCTCCTAAACCAATGAAGAAACTGAGGCTCACAAAAGTACTGTGACCTCTTTCCCAAGTTTTCACTACTGTGCAGTCAGGACCCGAACAGCCGGGCCTCCAGCCCCAAGCCCAGAGCTCTGTCCACTGCCCTGGGTGGTGTGGGGAAGGGGAGGTGAGGCCGGGCTGGCCCATGTGGGGGGCTGCAGGAGTGGGAGCATCCTGCAGGCCACACCCTTGATTCTGACTCCGGATCTGGGGGCACAGAGTGGTGGGAAGACAAATTGCACGCCAGAGGCAGCTCAAAGACCTGGGACTCCCTGCCACCCAGCAAGAGGAAGAAGGCACCTCTCGTTTCTGGTATCCTTCCATCCAAGGTGGCCCAAAACTGGGCAGGACGTCAGGGTCAGCCCCAGACTCGGGGGAGGGTGCAGGAGGGGGCATGGAGGACACAGACTAGACGCATTCATGGTTGGTTGGTTTCATGTGACCACGCCCAGGAAAATCCAGCTGTCAGGAATTTCCTGTGGGGTCCTGGGTCTCCCCTGGGCTCTGTGGACCCTAGAAATATAGAGACATCAGATCAGTGACTGCCCATAACTTCCTGAGTGAAGTTCAGTCTTTGGCGTCATCCGAGCGTGTTCCAGGCTTTCCCACCCCCGTGTCTTTGCTCCCTCTCCATCCTCCCGTTGGAACTCCTGCCTGGCCCTTCCTGGCCTGTGCTCATCGCAGACATTGCCTCCTCTGTGAAGCCTTCTTGGTCTTCCTGTGGCTTGTCTCTCCTCTGCACCCCTGTGCCCTGCCCTGAGTGCCTGCAGCCCAGAGAGGACTATCTGCCTCTGCCCACCTTAGGCAGGAGCCCCTTCAGTCCAGGGCCCACTGCGCCTTCATCCCCCCACTGTAGCCCAGCAGAGTTGAGTTGCGACATCCCTGCAGCAGCCAGAGTCTCAGCCATTGTGGCCACCTGGTGGAGAGCAGGTGCCGGCTGAGGGTGGAATCTGGAAGGCAGTGACTTGAGTGAATGTGAGGGTGTGGAGATGTTAGGTTCATGGCACAGGTGGGCACACGAGGGGAAGTATGAGACTACAGGAGGCTTGTTTCAGGGTGGAAGAGACCTGGGTCTGTCTGCAGTTGAGGAAGGGGTCAGGTGAGAGGACAGTTAATGATTTGGATGGAATAGGAAAAGGAGCAAGGCCCCTGACGGGGCAGGATGGGCCTTGGTCAGCTGACCTGGATTAAGGAGGGGAGGGTGAGCAGGGAGGTGGGGGTGGGGCTTGGTGCCCTCCATGGACTCAGTGAAACAGGCCATAAGCTGTCACCGCCCCTTTGCCCCCCACCAGGGGGCCAAGAAGTAGGAGGTGGAGCCTGAGCTCGAACCCAGGTCCTCAGTGCCCCTCCACACTGTGCACTGCACCACCTCTCATGAGTGTTCAGCTCCCAGGCTGAACCCTGCCTCCTGCCCCGCCATTGGTCTTCCTGCTTCCTTGACTCTGTCACAGGCCCTTACATCGTGTACATGCTGCAGGAGATCGACATCCTGGAGGACTGGACGGCTATCAAAAAGGTGGGTCTGCTGCTGCCACGCCCCCCCACCCCAGCTCAGGGTAGGGGCTGGCAGTTCCAATCCCAGCCAGCTCTAGGGTCCGAGGGCCGGGGGGTTCTCTGTGCACCCCCAGGCACTGCCTGCCTTCAGCCCAGGTTCCCTGGCATTGCAGTCAGCTCACGAGTCCTCCTGCTCAAGGCTGCCCTGGAGGAAGGGACATCTAGTCTGTCAACCCCTGCCTTGTTCCAGGGCAGGTTTGGATGGGGTGGAAGAAGGCAGGGAAGGTGGAAAGGGCTGGGCCGAAAGGGCACAGAGCCAGTGTGGAGAGGGAATTGCCATAATGGAGGCAGGCTCTCAGGGGGCTTTTTTTCTCCTCCACTCAGGCTAGGGCAGCTGTGTCCCCTCAGAAGAGAAAACCAGATGGTAAGAGCCGCGGAGGTTGTACCACCGCCCCGCCCCTCACTCTCACCTTCCCCACAGGAGCCCAGAGAGAGGCAGCAGCTCTGTCAGAATCAGTGGCCCCGGAAAGTTAGGACAATCTCAGCTCAAGGGGTTTGTGGGAGTTTGGCAAGCAGGAGCCAGGGTGGGAGTGTGGAAGCTCAGGGTTGGGGGAGCGCCCAGCCAGGCTCAAGCAGGGAGGGCCCAACCTGAGCTCATGGATGAGGGAGCTGCCCCAGGGCCCTCCCAGGAGGCTACTCCCGACCTCACATGGAGTGGCTGCCTCCCTCCTGGTTCAGCTTCCTCTCATGTTTGATGATCTTTCCCCTCCCACACACCCCAGGCCCATGACCCTGCTGTTCATAGCCAGGGGATCCCTCGGAGCAGCTGGCACCAAACCCAGATTTGCATTTCCCTGCTGCGGAAGGTAGACTGCCCAGCCCCCCAGTGGCTCTCCAGTGTTGCTGCTGGGTCCTCCCCCTCCAGCTGTCACTGGTCTGGGCTCCTCCTCTGCCCTCCTTGGGTTCTGTGCAGCTGTGGCCCCAGAGTGGCCAGGCAAGGCTTGTGTCTGTCCCTGACCAGCTCACCACCTCCCTCTCCTGAAGATCAGCTTCCTCAGTGCCCCTCTGGCAAAGAAGACAGGCCTTGTCCTAAGCCAAAGCAACATCCTTCCTGCTGACCTCTCAGCCACTGAGCCAATGAGCTGGGCCCTCCATTGTGGAACTCTGAGCCAGAAATGATATTTGGGGGGCCTGTCAGTCCTGGCTGGAGCTGAAGGAGAGAAGCCAGGCTCCCCAGGATTTTTCTCAGTGTGGTTCTTGGTATCTGCCTCCCAAATTGTGAGGACTGGAAATAAAACTTTTTGTGGGACTCTGGTGTGACCATGTGTGTCTGATTTGCCCTGCAAGGGAATTGGCTTTTGTGGGGAGCTCCTGAAACAGGCAGATTCTCTACTGGGGTCCCTGCAGTTGGTACCTCTTCTCACTACCCAGCAGGCTCTGGAGTACTCTGACTTGGGGTACAGGCTGGGGATGGGGGGCTGGGCCCAGAACTACCTGTTGCTGGTGAGCAGAGTCAGAAGCAACACGTGGTGCAGGCAGAGCACGTGGCCTCGGGTGGGAAGGGGGCTGGTGCGGGTGCTTAGAGACCAGGTCATGTCTGCACCTGCCCAGTCGCTTGGCAGATTGGCAAGGCAGGCTGGCAGGGCCTGTGTGCGTGGGAGGCAGCCAGCAGCAGCACCATGTGCTGACGACCTCACAGCCAGACTCCCCCTGGTTAGTGCTGAGTGTCAGAACCACCCCCAGAACCTCAGTTAAGCAAAGGGGTTGGTTTCCATGGAGACACAGCATCTTTTCTCCATGACAACATGAAATCCCGAAACCCAGGTTAGGCTCAGGAATGAGTCATCTGACCAGTAGGGGGTGCTCTCCCCCAAGGATGACCCCCAAGGCGCTGGACAGATGAGCAACTGACCACAGATTTAGAGGTGCCCCAGGGCGAGGCTTGGGCCTGTGCAGACTGGGCCGTCCGGGCTGTGCTTAACCCTTTCCTGCTCACCTGTGTGATTTGAGGAGGCCGGCAAGGCTGCAGGAAGCACTGTGGGGAGGGGGCACCCCCACAGCTGGGGCCCTTAGGGTGGCACTAGCATGGAGAGGAATCCCTGCCCCTCCAGGCTGGCCCTAGAACAGAGAGGAAGCGGGCACTGGCCAGGTGGGGTGGACACCCAAGAGTTAACTGGTGGGGTGTGACAGGGCGAACCGCCCTCAGGAAGTGTTACTCACCACGGGGAATGTGCGTGCCTGTGCCTCGGGAGCTGGATTCTCTTCCTGAGTCCCAGAGAAGCGAAGGAGCTCCCAGCCATGGAAACCCCTGGGGAACCAGGAGCAGGCCCTCTTGGAGCCCCCAACCCATCCAGCATTACTCCTGGGCACCTGGAGAGAGAAAAGTTAGTGGAGTTGGACGGGCAGCCAGGTGGGGTGGGGAAGGACAGCAAGAGGAGGGTTTATTCCCCAGGCAGCAGAGGTGGGAAGCCCTGTACGGGGGAAGGGCGGGTGAGGGTCCCAGCCCCTGGCCCCTGCTCAGGTCTGGGTGCCCGCCCCCAGGCCAGCCCAGGACCCACTGTACGACATGCCCGATGCCAGCGGGGGGCGGGCAGGTGGACTCCAGCGGCCCGGGCGCGCCGTGAGCCTGCGGGAGCGTCTGCTGCTCACCCGGCCCGTGTGGCTGCAGCTGCGGGCCAACGCCGCGGCTGCACTGCACGTGCTGAGGACCGAGCCCCCGGGGGTGAGTCTCGCCCCCACCTTCCACCTCCGGGGACTGGCCAGCTGAGGTGGGAGGGAGAGAAGCTGGATACTCCGGTCCTGAGCCTCCCAAGCCCTGTCCACTTGCAGACGTTCCTGGTGCGGAAATCTAACACCCGCCAGTGCCAGGCCCTGTGCGTGCGGCTGCCCGAGGCCAGTGGCCCCTCCTTTGTTTCCAGCCACTACATCCAGGAGAGCCCTGGTGGTGAGAGGGGCTGGCCTGCTGGGAAGGGCTGGTCAGGGGTGCGTCCGCAGAGAACGGCCTCACTATTTCCCATCTCTCAGGAGTCTCCTTGGAGGGCTCGGAGCTCATGTTCCCAGACCTGGTCCAGCTCATCTGCGCCTACTGCCACACCCGGTGAGTCTGCCCACAGGGAGTCAGTGCCTGTCTGTGGAGCCCTGGTCCCAGCGACAGCCCTCCGCATCCCGCCTTCTGCAACCTGAGCATCCCTCACTCCTGACCCTGCTCCTGTCTCTGGCCTCAGGGACATCCTTCTCCTCCAGCTCCAGCTCCCCAGAGCCATCTGCCAGGCAGCCACCCACAAGGAGCTGGAGGCCATCTCCCATCTGGGCATTGGTAAGGGTTCCCCTGCCACCCGCTGCACAAATGGACAAGCTGAGGCCGAGAGGGGAAGGGAAAGCCCACAGGCCCACCAGCCCCTGAAGCCCCACTTGGTTTCTCTTCCCTAGAGTTCTGGAGCTCCCCCCTCAACACCAAGCCTCCGCGGGGCCCCTCCGAAGGCCCACTACTGCCCCGGCTGAAGGCCCGGTCCCCTCAAGAGCTGGACCAGGGCACTGGAGCCGCCCTGTGCTTCTTCAACCCTCTGTTCCCAGGGGACCTGGGCCCCACCAAGCGGGAGAAATTCAAGAGGAGCTTCAAAGTGCGCGTGTCCACAGAGACCTCCAGCCCCTTGTCTCCACCTGCCGTGCCACCTCCCCCCGTCCCAGTGCTGCCAGGGGCAGCCCCCAGCCAGACAGAGAGGCTGCCCCCTCACCGGCCGCTGCGGAGGGAGAGCTCAGTGGGATACCATGTGCCCAGGGACCCCAGCCCTAACCTCCCACCCCTGCCCTCCCTCCAGGAGGTGGACTGTGGCTCCCCCAGCAGCTCTGAGGAGGAGGGGACGCCGAGATCCCGGGGGAGCCCAGCGACCTCACCCCAGCTGGGCCGACGGCGGCCTCTGCTTCGGTCCATGAGTGCTGCCTTCTGCTCCCTGCTGGTGCCCGAACGGCAGGTGGGCAGGGTGGCCACAGCGCTGGTGCAGGACCGACACACTGCTGTGGGCCAGTTGGTGCAGGACCTACTGACCCAGGTGCGGGCCAGTCCTGAGCCCCGAGAGCTGCAGGGCATCCGCCAGGTGCTGAGCCGAGCCCGGGCCATGCTGACCACGGAGTTGGGCCCTGAGAAGCTGCTGCCACCCGAGAGGCTGGGTAAGGCCCCAGTCAGGGCCTCTGCCAGTGGGGCCCCTGTCTTTCCATCATGCCAGCTCTTCCCTATCTGACTCTCACCTCTGCTCCCCAGTGCCAGCCTCTCTGGTTCTGTTCTGCTGCTTTAGAAAGCCACCTTGTCTCACTGCTGTTCCAATGATCTCCACCCCTGCCTCTCTCCCCGTCTCCCCTCTTGCCCAGCTCCTCTGTTTTTCATGCCTCTCCTGCCTGACTCTGCCCTTCCTCCTCCTTTCTGCCCCGGACTCTTCCCCTCCGTCTGCCTGACCCCTGCCTGCCCCTCGTCCGGCAGAACACGTCCTGGAGAAGTCGCTGCACCGCTCTGTGCTCAAGCCTCTCCGGCCCATCCTGGCAGCCCGCCTGCGGCGCCGGCTTTCCGCAGACGGCTCCCTGGGCCGCCTGGCAGAAGGATTCCGCCTGGCCCGTGCCCAGGGCCCTGGCGCCTTTGGCTCCCACCTGAGCCTGCCCTCCCCGGTGGAGACGGAGCAGGTGCGCCAGAAGCTGCTGCAGCTGCTCCGCACCTACTCACCCAGTGCCCAGGTCAAGCGGCTCCTACAGGCCTGCAAGCTGCTCTACACATGCCTGAGGACCCACGCAGGTTTGTCCCCTCTCACCACCTCCCACCGCCCTGCCCCCTCTGAGTCAGAGGCAGGCCCCCCAGGGAGAGACTTCCAGGACCACAGTGGGAGGTGGGGGCGGAATGAGCCAACCCTCCCAACTCAAACTTGGTGAAACTGAGGCCCAGAGAGTAGAGCCTCCTGGCTGCAGCCCCTCCACGTGGTTGCTGTGGAGATCACATTGCATAGGGCCTCGCAGGAGGAGGGGAGGGGTCAGTGTCTAAGACAAGGACTGGACTCTGACCCTGAGGCTCCAGAGGAGCCTGAAGCTTCCTCCTCACCATGTGCCCACAGGGGCAGGCGCTGGTGCTGATGAGTTCCTGCCGCTGCTGAGCCTCGTCGTGGCACAGTGCGACCTTCCCGAGCTGCTGCTGGAGACGGAGTACATGTCGGAGCTGCTGGAGCCCACCCTCCTCACCGGGGAGGGTGAGGGGACCCCCCTCCCACACACACACACACACACACACACACACACACACACACACACACACACACTGCCTCCCTGTCTGGGTTGAGCAGACAGCAGGGAAGGGGTGGGGGGACGGGGCACCCCAGCCCAGCCTGAGCTGCATTCTTCCCCCTCATGTCCCAGGTGGCTACTACCTGACCAGCCTCTCGGCCAGCCTGGCCCTGCTGAGCGGACTGACCCAGGCCCACACCGTCCCCCTGAGCCCCTCACAGGAGCTGCAGCGCTCCCTCAGCCTCTGGGAGCAACGCCGCCTGCCTGCCACCCACAGCTTCCAGGTAACACGGCCCCTTCACACTGTCCACCCCAAACTGGCCAGGCCCAGGCAGGCTCTGGCATCCTCCAGCACAGACCCCTCTTCTTCCCAGTGGGACCCAGCAAGAGGAAAGGGCTAGTCCTGCATCACCCTGCCACAGAAGCAGCGCCCTCTGAAAATGTCAAAGCCAGCCTTTCTAGAGGGAGCAGGTTCCACGTGCTCCAGGGGCAGCGTCTCTGAATCTTCACAGACACTCTGAAGTAGGACCATTATTATCCCCATTTTACAGATGAGGAAATTGGAGCATGACATGGAGAAGGAAAGGGACACAGGTGACAGGCCCAGACTCCAAATCCTGGCCTCCAGCCCCAGCCAGGCCTCTGCCTGTCCCTGACCTCAGGCTTCAGCCTGTGCCCCATTGCCCTTGCATTTGGGCTCTGGCCTGGGTGTCTTCAGAGCCAGATGCCACCCCTGCCCTTCATCCTTCCCAGCCTTGGTTAAGAGTCCAGACTCAGTTGCCAGATCCTGGGTTCCAATCCTGGCTCTACCACTTCTTGGTTATGGGAGCTTGGGCAAGTTACTTAACCTCTTTGTGCCTCAATTTTGTCATCTGTAAAATGGAGTAACAGTACCTGCCTCCTGGGGTCAATGTTAGGATTAAATGAGTGAATGCAGGACAAGGGCTTAGGGCCCAGAGTAAGCTCTATCTAAGCTTCATCTTAGGCCTGTGAGATCCTGCAGGGCCATCCTTGCACCTGCAACCCTGCTCCCCTAGCCCCTGCAGCCCTGCCCCCAGCCCCTGCCCATCTCTCCCTGCCTGACAGCTCCCCTCCACTGGAGCTCACAAAACTTTGGCCAATTGATTCTACCACTGGATTTATACGACCCACCCCTGTCCCTGCATGGCCTACCCTTGTCCCTCAGCTTTGGAGCCAGATACACACCAGGCAGGGCTAAGTACTCAGTTTTGCTTTTCCTTCATAGCACCTCCTCCGAGTAGCCTATCAGGATCCCAGCAGTGGCTGCACCTCCAAGACCCTGGCTGTGCCCCCAGGGGCCTCGATTGCCACCGTGAACCAGCTCTGTGCCACCAAATTTCGAGTGGCTCAGCCTGATACTTTTGGCCTCTTCCTGTACAAGGAGCAGGGCTATCAGCGCCTGTCCCCTGGAGTCCTGGCCCATAGGCTTCCCACCACCGGCTACCTCGTCTACCGCCAGGCAGAGCAGCCCAAGACCCAGGCGACAGCAACAGAGGAGGAGGGCAGTGGGCAGCCAGGGGCAGGGAGCGGGGAGGAGGGGAAACGGGGCCCAGGAGATGGGGACGTTGCAGTCAAAGCCAGCCTCAGGGACAGGAATGGAGAGTCTGAGACAACTGCTGAGGGGGCTGAGGGTCAGACCAGGGGAGGCCCTGCTCAGCCAGAGGAGCCAGAGGCTGAGAGGAGCCAGGCAGCACAGGAGTAGCTGGAAGCAGCCAGAAAGGCCATTTGGGACAGGAGACTCAGAGGCTGCCAGGAAGGCCTTTCAGAGCCATCAACCCTACCAGCCAAGGCCACAGCCACCTGGGCCACGGCGACCTCGGGCCCTTTCCTGTGTCTGCAACCACCTCTGTCTGATACTTGTCTCTGTGAGTCCACCTGCTGGAGGAGCTGGGGAACAGGGGTTGGGGGACCCCTAGACTATGTGCCCAAGGCCCCTTGCCTCTTGTTCTTCTCCTCCAGCTGGAGGCCAGGCAGCCTGCAGGGGTGAGTGTGCCCAACAGGGGACCAACCCAACTGAGGCCCTCCTCTGGCTGGTCCTGGCTCCTCTTGCATCTCCCGCCATAGGCACAGGCCAGGCAGCCCCCACCAGGCTGGAGGCTCCAAGTCTCTGAAAGACCCACCCACACCTGGGTGTCAGGAGGNCCCCGCTGCTCTGTTCCAGGAGCCTGCTCCCTGCCGGGTGGGGCTCTCACCTGCTCATGCTCCCTCCCTCAGGGAAGGTTGTTCCCCTGGAGATCAGGTCCCGGGGGAGAAAGCACCCAATTTCCTGTCTTTCCCCAAGACTGGAAGTCTTCCCAGGCACTCCAGCCTCCCAGGAGAATTGGACAGGGGGAAAATGCTCACCAGCAGGCAGACAAGCTTCCAGAAGGGAAGGAGGGCGGGCTGGGAAACCATTTTCTCTGCACTTAACTCTTCGGCTCTCACACAGACTTTACGGGGAGGCAGGACATGGCTTGTTAGCCCCACCAAGGTTCAGAAAAGTGACTCCCAAGACTTCACACAGCAAGTCACTAGGGTTTCCCTACCCAAACCAGGGCATCAGGTTCCACCTACACCTCTCTATTCTAAGCCCCAAGAATGAACCCTCAAGGCTGGGGCAGCGATGCCAACCCCCAACCACAAGGAGGTGCAGTTGGCCCAGGAAGCTGCTGAGAGGAGACTCCTGAGGGGCCAAGATGGCTGGAGAGCAGCAGCAGCAAAGGTGGTCACTGGTCTTGCACCTGGGGACAGCACAGGGGCCGAGGCTGCTGGCCCTCAGGTCCCTTGGAGTCAGGGGTCTGGATGAGGCCAGCCTCTTGGGCATCATTCCCCAGAAAAGAATTGTCCCTGATGGAAAGGACCCCAGTCTCAGAGGCACTCTCCTCAGGCACTGAGCACAAAGGGTCATCAGTCCACATGTCAGACATGACAACTATGAGGTAGAAATCATCGATTTCGGCTATTGGATGATCCAGATACAGCCCAGGTGCGGGGCTCCCGGGTTTCCCACTAGGCCACCGGCAGCCCTTCCTTCGCCACTTCCATGCCACCCCCCCACCCCCAAGCTTCTTGCTGATACGTTCTTTTGTATGTATGTCCTCTCTCCTTATCCCACCCCCACCCCAGTGCCTTGTACAGTGCCGCACACTCCACAGGCGCTCAATAAATGTGGTCCACTGTCTGGAGTTTGTTAACTAGGAGGGAGGGGCAGTGAGGTGGGAACCTGGGGAGGGTAACAGAGGGCTGGGTCCTGAGAATCAAACACAGGATGATGTGTCAAGTTCAGACCCAGAGGAAGGACCTGGAATGTCTGCAGGGGTGCTCAGAGAACCTCAGGGGCCAGATGTGCAGCCAGTCTCACGGGAAGGAGGCTTCTGGGCCCTGTCTCTGGGGCCTCTGCAAGTCCTTCCCTCCCTTCCCATGCTCAATCCTAAGTCCTGGCCTTGAGAATTCGGCATGCCCCCTGCCTGGGTCTTTTGGTTTGTCTTCTCAAGAGATTCTGATTGTCAGAGGTCCAGGCCAAATCAGCATAATGAAGGGTCATGTTATAGGGGCAGGGGCTCTAGGCAGGGCAAACAATGATAGACCAGTCTAAGGCTGGTCTCATTATCCCCATTTTACAGATGAGGAAACCGAGGCTTGCTCAGGAAAAGTGGCTTGTTACAGAGCAAAGGGCTCAGACACCAGATCCTACAATCCTCCAAAACAGATGGACTCACTTACTCATCCACCCAGCAATAATCTATCGAGTGTCTGTTATGAACCAAGCACCAAGCACCCCCAGCCCCCAGCCAAAGAGAAACTGGTCAGCTCTCACTGTCTTCAAGGTGCGAGCTGGGCAATAGCTATGAGCCCACCTCTCCCCAACCCCTGCTGCCACCTTTGTCCCTATTTATGGAAGAGGAAGCCAAGGCTCCAGGAGGTGACATGCCTGGTCCAGCGTCCATTGCTGCAGGGCAGGACTGGAACCTGACGTTTGGATCTACTGAGGAGCAGCCAAATCATTTCCTCACTTGGAAATGTTGCATGTCACTTCAAAAGTGACCATAGTTCTATATATGAGTTTGTTTATGCCAGAGCCAAGTCGGCCTTGTTCCCAGCCAAGTCTCAGGAGCCTAGAACAATGCCTGGCCAGGAATTGGCACTTAGTGGATATGTGTAGAATGACTGACTAGGGAAGACTCACCACAAGCACTTCCCTTGCGTTCCTGGGGCACAGGGTGGCGCGTTCTCCATCGCTGCCACCAGGGGGCGAGCGCGCCTCATTCCCAGCCGTATGCCGGGTCCCTTTCTCCACTGAGAAGGCCGCCCAGGGGACCCGGGGACTCAGGGGACCCGCGCCCAGCCTGGTGCTAGGAGGTAAGCACCCTCTCAGGGGGGACCTGGGACCGTCCTGCGAGCAGGAATCCTGCGAACTGGGGTCGGGAGGAGGCGTGAGGGAGGGGACACCTATCCCAGGTTCTACCGTCCAGACTGGCCCAGGAGCCAGGGCCTGTGGGGTGGCCTGAGAGGGTGGGGTGGAAGGCAGTCACTGAGACTCACATCACCACCCTGACCCACCTTCACCAAGGAGCGGCCTTGTGACCCATGTTCACACCCACGATTTAACACACAGTCGCACTCTGACCCACATTCGCACAGAGTGTGACACTGCTGCCACAGGCATGTACACTAACACCCGGGCACCCCAACGTTGACAGGCACACCCTGACCGCTAGCCACTCATGCCCTGCGGGATGGGACACAGGAACACACGGCCACCTCTCCTCTGAGCCACACCATGACACAGACCAAACCCTCACTCAGACGTCCCTAAGTCTGCACACTCAGAGATATTACAACACTCTCCCTCTCGGGTTCAGAGTGTGACTCCCTGACACACACATGGTGACAGGCTGACACAGACATGTGGTGCCCTACTCAGGGACTCCATGATGCACGTGGACCTACCCATGCAGAACTGCCACCAACACACCCAAACCTCCCACTCAAATGCACGACATACACTCTCCTGGGACACAGCACATGGGCGTCCCCTTCCCCCTGTGTCCTAACACTGGAAGTGCAAACACACACAGACACACACAGATGCACCAAAGGACACACGCAGACACACACACACTCTTTATACTTCTGAGCATGCGGAAGAGGTCCAAGCCCCTCTCCTGACTGCCCTCCCCCCCCGGCCCTGGCCCACCCCTGCCACCTCTTACCCACCCCAGCCCATGGTGCACCCAGGTGGGGGCTCTGGGTTGCTGAGAAGACCCCCGTGAGGGGCATGGCTACCCCACTGGCCAGGCAGGAGGCAGAGGCAGAGCGCTGGGTGGGGAGGCCTGAGCTCATCGGATTCCAACTCAAGTGATTCACAGGAGGACCTGGGAGGGGCACTGACCCAGGGCTGCGGCTTTGAGGGCCCGGGTGGGCTTTGGACCAGAGGGTCCTGGGTCCACAGCAAGGTCCAAGTCTGGGAGGGGGCTTCTTGAGCGGTGGCCCAGGCTGAAGGGGTGCCTGCTGGGCGCGGCTCTTGGGAGGGGCTCGGGACAGAGAGCGGTGCTGCAGGATGAGCCAATCCTGACCCCACGCCTTCCGGGCCCCAGCAGCTGGGTGTCTTTAACAGGGGTTAGGCCAAGGGTGGGGGGCAGGGGTGGGGTGACCTGCATGGCCTATTGTGGCCTCTCAGGCCCTCGGGCAAGCAGCCTGAGTAGACTCCAGAGGCCCTGAGGGACTGGGCCTGCCTGGCCCGGACGAGGCCGACAGGGTTACAGACCCGTAGGGCCCTGCCAGGCTAGGCCTCTGCCAGAGAGCCGAGAACACACGGCCTGTCCCAGCGCCAGGGATGTTTTCCTGCTGAGATCGAGCCCTCTGCTTCTGCCACCCCCAGAGCCCCCTGCCCCCAGGCCAGGCTGTCGCTCTGAGGAGGTGGGGGCTATGGATGCCCAGACCCAGCTGCAGGGTGACAGGAGGAAAGGATGGGGCTGGGGGTGGGGCAGGGGCACAGGAAGCGCCTTTCTTGGAACTCTGCACCAAAATAGCCCATTCTGTCCCTACTCTGGGTCTCAGTGTCCCACAGGGGAGGTGTGTGTCACCAAGGAGACCCTCGCCAGGGAGGGGCCAGAGCTGACCTCAGTCTGGCTCTGCTCGCAACCCCTCCCGCCCGCCTCCACCCCTACCACGGCCTCTGCTCCACTTTGAAGTCCTAACATAAATATCATGTCTGCTTGGGTTCCCCTTCCCGGCCTGGTCACAGCCCCCAGACCTGGCTCCCATCGCAGCCAGCACTGGGGGTGCAGTGCCAGGAGAGGGCAAGGAGGCCTGGACCACCCAGGGAAGGTGGCAAGCCAGAGACCCTGAGACAGAGACAGGGAGACACCGGAGATGGAGAGGGGAGACACAGAAGTGGGCAGAGAACAGAGAGACCCCAGCAGCCAACAGGGGGACAATCCTGGGTGCAAGAGAGGAGACAGAGAGACCCCAGACACAGGGGGAAGAGAGAGGAACAGGGAGGGAGAGACACAGTGAGACAGAGACACAGAGATTCCTGGAGACAGCAAGGGGCAGGAGGAAGAGGGTGTGGGACAGGAAGAGAAGGGAAAGTAAGAACCTTCGAGAAAGTTCCAGAAGGGGTGTGGGGGAGGCGGGGAGGCTGAGATGGGTTGCAGGGGGAAAGATGGGGGAGGAAAGAGATACGTCCCTGACAACTGCGTGACCAGCCATCTCATTTGCCTAGGACTGAGGAGGTTCCTAGGACATGGGACTTTCAGTGCTGAAACCAGCAAACTCCTCAGCAAACAGGGACAAGTTGGTCACCCTAGGTGGCAGGCCTCTGGCAGACACACCAGGGATGACAGGGTCCACTCCCATA